GGTCTGGACCACTCCTGAATTTTGTTCGTATCTGAAAAAAATCTTAGAATATGAAAACATTGGTGAATGTCACAAATTCTCCGAAATCACTCGTACGCACAACTTAAGAACAAATCTGTGCGTACCAACGGTTCTTGCATGAGGCCCAATGTTACTCAGGTTGTTGTCACCAACAGCTCAAATCACCTCAACTCCTAGTTTTTGATATTTGGGTACATTTGGTTTTCTAGAAAAATGTTTCCCAAAGTCGGGGTCGGGACCCAAAGTGGGGTCCCGAAACATCAAGGTGGTGGTCCTGAAAATATTTTCTGAATTAATTACATTTTTGCCTTAGTTGTTACACAGGAGTGAGGTTAGTGTATTTAAAATGGATAAATGTAGTAAAAAAATATTGTTACTTTACCCATGTTTAGTTGACCTGATACAAATGTTTATCATCCAAAAACAGATGGAGGCACAGGTCTCTGCTGCTGTTATTTTGTGGGTCCAAAGCTGAAAAGTTTGGGAACCACTGATCTAAAGAGTAAAACCCACAGATCTTCTCTGATCCCAGCTTTGCATTGTCCTTGTAAAGATAATAAAAAAATCAGTCAACTGAAATAGCAAATAAAGTTGTGTGRAGTTTTTTGACTTTTAAACACTGTACAGAACACACATAAATTATTATTATTGCTGCCTACAAATAAGTTGGCAACTGGAAATATTGCTTATTTGTGTAATTTCAAAGAAATTTAAAAACCACGAGTGAGCTGAGAACATGCTTTTAACAGAATATTTTGTCACAACYTAGAAAAGGAACAAACAACAGTCTGAAATACAGAAGTGTGTACAGTGAAGCTGAACGGTAAAGGATCTTGAATGAAGTTTATCCATCCAATGAAATGCTGAGAATGAGATTTAATATTGACCATAACAGYTGTATTTTTTGTGAATCCAACATCGAAACAACAGATCATCTTTTTTATCAATGTATTTACACAAAAACTTTCTGGGAGGATGTTCTGGACTGGCTTTCTACAAAGATCCAGCTACAGGACACACTTACTCTGGACAACATAATATTTGGATTGAACTTGAAGGATGCACAATCAGACTATGTTTTAAACAATTTACTACTGATGTCAAAATATTTCATTCATTGCTGTAAATGGAAAAAGGTAAAGCCTATCTTTAATGTATTTAAAAAAAACATCTTGTTGAAAATTATTTAATTGCTTTAAAACGAATGAAACGTAAGAACGCAAAGTCTCTATGGAATGGATTTGAAAATTTGAAAATTTTTGAAGACTTCTGGTTGTAGTTGTACAACTGTGTGAATGTGTATGGATTTTTTTCCTTTTTTTATTTCTATTGTTTGCTTTGTTCTATCTTGTGTCTTGAAAATGTTATTTCTCCTGTTTATTGTTGTTATATCCCTAAAAAAAAACTTCTGTTCCTGACCGAAAAAAAAAAGCTGAACGGTAAAGGTCTAAAAAAAAAAAAGCATCTTCCTCTTTGTTTCTTCTTCGTGTGCTTATTTTTTCTACTGCTGCTGCTCCTTCCGGCTTTTTCTTCTTCTTCGATTTACTTCATAAAACAGGGTCTCAGCTTCGCAAATAAGTCTTAACATCAAATGCTTAATTTGTGTTCATAAAATAGTTTTAAATGATGTCGGAGTGATTCTGGGTGTTGAGGCGCGTCGGRACCAGCCAGCAGAGCTGAAAGAAAAGGATCAACATGATGATGTTTGTGACCTTCAGCCTAATTAATTTMTCTTTCAACATTCGGACTGTGGTGAGCAGCTTCCTCAGCCTATCGCCGTGGGAGCAGCGCTCCGAAAACTCCGCAGCTGTGCGCCGATTGGTCCGAACCTCTCGAAAGATCTGCTCGAAGTTCGAGCCGTCGAACCCGTCCTATCAGAACAGACCGGCTCGGGATGGGTTTACGGTCCTTTCTGCTTGACATGGGTGAGCAAACACTGCGGAMCTGTCTGTTAGTGTGACTGAAGCCCCCCAGAGAGCAGTCAAAAAATCCGGATTATGTAAGTTTAATTTCTTAATTTCGTGCTATAACTGTTGTAAAATGTACATAATTACTCAGAAATCCACTTATAGGCTATCCACGAGACTATCATTCACGTGTAATGGTGCAGCTTATGCTCTGTATTTAAGTTGCATTTGTTGCTTCTGGACAAATGACTCCTATATATTTCACCAAAAGAGGGCAACATCCTCCCCAGAAGGCTCAAAATGCATGATGTTTACAGACTTACAGCCAGTTTTCTTTATTATTTAGGTGAGACGGAGTGGTCCTTCAGTGTGCAGGAGGATCAGAGACCAGCATCAGGATGGGAGGTGGAGGTCAGCAGGGCGAGCCGGGCAGCGGGAAGGCTGCAGGTGTTTACACCTGGGAGGAGGTCCAGAAGCACAGCAGCAGGAACGACCGGTGGCTGGTCATCAACAGGAAGGTTTACAACATCACTCAGTGGGCCAAGAGGCACCCAGGGGGGTCTCATGTCATCGGCCACTATGGAGGAGAGGATGCTACGGTAACTATGCTCTCTTTCTTTTATGGTATTTGTTATTTATTCAGACGGGTTGTTCTTATCTTTATAAAAATGTCTTTGATTGCATTTTATTTTTGCTCAACATTCAGGTAATGATCTGGCTTTGTTTTGCTTTAGGAGACTTTATTCTACTTGAGGTTTCTTTATTTTATTATCTTAGTATTTTGAGGAAATGTATAATTGGCTGTACTAATAGTAGTACTAAATAAATGTCCTGATGTGTCTCAGTAATCCAGGTAAAAAATAAATTGACCTTTATACAGCTAATGAAAGCTTGGTATCAATATTTTTGCGATGCACTGCGGTCTGGCTATATTCATGTCTAATTTTGTCTAATGTAAACTTCGTTCATGTCTATGTTTGTTTTAGTTGTACTCTGCAGACATTCAGACACACAGCAGCGTTGCATGCTGAGGACATTTTGCTATCACAACGTAAAACACTAATAAAACTAATTGGAATTGCTTTGTTCCTTTTACTAACCATTCGTTGCACATCACAAGTTTGGTTTTTAATCCTTACCTCCTCTTCCTCTGAGCCCCTCTTATAAAAACGTACCTGATCTGATGCATGWAAGTGTGCGACCTTTCTTCAGTGTTTTCATGTGGCCTGTAATAAAAACATCACCTCATGCTGTTATAGTAAATATCTCCAAATGTCATTCTGATTATTATTGTGTTAACCTAAACTTCTGTTATTAACCCAAAAATGATTTTAACAGGGAGAAATCTTCAAAAAGAACTGTACACAGTTCAATGTTTTATATTGAAACTATACCATCTTCTTTTTAGTTGATTTCCACAAACATTTCAAGAAAGAAGAAATGAACGTAGTTATGTTTTAATGCAATTGTAAAAATACTTAGTTTAGTCACTGTAAGCTTTTAAAACTATATACCAAGAAAAACATGTATCAAGAACTAATGCTTATATGAGTAAAGATTTTGCTAAAGATGTATTTAAAATATTTTATGCTTTTCAATTTTGAAAGCTTTTCTTTATGTGTTTTTATTTACTTAATGCACCTGATGTCCTCGTTTGTTTTCCAGGAGGCGTTCGCTGCTTTTCATCCTGACCAAAACTTTGCGCAAAAGTTTCTGAAGCCGCTGCTGATTGGAGAGTTGGCAGCAACAGAACCGAGTCAGGACAGGGAAAAAAGTGTGAGTCTTTAAAATGTCATGTCCAAGTCAGTCTGTTTTACAAATGATTTATGAGATTCTCAGGTAGCAGAATCATCCGATATCATTTTCCTGTAACAAAATATCAGCTTTCATCTTCTCTGCAGGCGAGAATCATACAGGATTTTGAGAGTTTACGAGTTCAGGTGGAGAAGGCGGGTCTTTTTCGAGCTCAGCCTCTGTTCTTCTGCCTCCACCTGGGTCACATCCTGCTGCTGGAGGCCCTCGCCTGGTTGATGGTTTCACACTGGGGGACTAGCTGGATGCTGACGTTGCTGTGTGCGGTGATGCTGGCAACCTCACAGGTTACTTCAACACAACTGCAACTACAGAAAGGAGCCTTTACACAAATAATAACTCATCTAAATGTTTTTTGAAGAACTTTGACACAAACTCTGCAGAATCTAAAAGCATCTCTTTAAATCTTTCCATCACTAGTCTCAGGCCGGCTGGCTGCAGCACGACTTTGGTCACCTTTCTGTCTTCAAGAAGTCCAAGTGGAATCACCTGGTGCACAAGTTTGTCATTGGACATTTGAAGGTAACTATTTGAGATTTCTTTTAAATTTTTGGTCAAATGTTTTTTAAGGTATTAAAAAGCTGTTTTAACAGGGAGCCGCAGCCAGCTGGTGGAATCATCTACATTTCAATCATCACGCCAAACCAAACATCCTGAGTAAAGATCCGGACGTCAACATGTCGGGCATCTTTGTTCTTGGAGCTGTTCAACCTGTGGAGGCAAGAAGCTAAAAAAAACTATTTCCAAATTCATTTAAAAAAACACAACCTGTTAACTTACATTATTCTGTTCTCTTGTTGTTAACAGTACGGCATTAAAAAGATCAAGCAYTTGCCCTATAATCGCCAACATCAGTACTTCTTTCTCGGTATGTTTAAAGTCATTAAAAGTCTTTAAAACGTAAGAAAAGTTTTTATTTCGATWCATTTTATTTAAGTCACAAAAAATAATCAATAAATCTAAAGAAGCCAGCAGATTGTGTTGAAGCTGCACTTTGTCACAGTCTCCCATCCTGAGCAGCACATTGGCAGCAGTGGAGGGTTTTTAAATATATATTTTTTTATTTCTGCTTTAGTGGGACCACCGCTGCTCATTCCAATTGTCTTCAACCTTCAGGTGTTGCATGTCATGATTTCTCGCCGCAACTGGGTGGTAAGAAAGTGTCTATGATTCAGTTTGTAATAATGTCTGTTTGAATATGTAACAAACTGATTTATGTTCAATCAGAAATGAGAAACGCTTCAGATCTTATGGACAGTGCAGTTGAAAAATGCTGAATAGAAAAAAAACACAGTTACATTTATTTAATTGCAAACAGTGGGATGTTTCATGACCGATTTTTATTTAATTTGTTAATAATAAACAACAAATCCTATTTTACACATTTAATGCTTAAAATGTCAGAATCTGGGTAATTAAAGAATACTAATGAGGTTAGAATAATAACACGTTACAAATAACATGACTGTCAACAGATGACTGTTGTATCTTAAAAAAACAAACAATAAAAACAGTCAGGATCATAAAAGGATTTGTGGACCACCGATGGCAAATGGGACACAAAATACAGATTCATAAATACCGCTATAGACTTTATCCCTTTTAATTTCCCTGAAGGAATCTTCCCAATGTCACAATAAATTTACGTTTAATCTAATTTACTGTGTAAAAAAGCAGTTGAGTGTTAACTTTATTCAGAAATTACATCAACTCTGGATGCAAACATATATTATGGATGTATTATATCTTTCTTTTAAAACAAATGGATACTACATGGTCTAAAACAAAGACAAGTCAGAAAGCTATTAGTAATGGCTCCAAAAATTTGAATCCCTTTGCCTATGTACTAAAACCCAACAAAACAGATCTGTTGAGCTTTATGCACGTCCTTATAAATCAACTTTTCTTTAGATTTTCTTTTAAACCATAATTATTTAAAATATGAAATGTAGAACTTTATGTACAATTTTTTAATGAAATTAAATAAATAAAAACAAAACTCAAACACTGGATTTTTTTTATAGTCTAATAAAATCTATCAGTGTATTAATCACACTTTTTAACATCTCCTGCATTGTTCTAACTTTTGCATCAAATGTTAAATAAGTGCATCATAAATCTTTACAAATATGTTTTTTTTTTTAAAACCTGAAGTTTGCTGTTTTTAAAGGACCTGGCTTGGTATTTGTCTTTTTACTGCCGCTACTTCTACTGTTATGTCCCGCTGTACGGCCTGCTGGGCTCGCTGGCGCTCATCCTCTTTGTCAGGTAAGAATTTCAACAGCAAATCTAGACAAGCCTCTGTTTTAAACAGTGTTTTATCATTAAAGAAAACTAATGGAGATCAGCTCTTCTGCACGTTACGGTGAGATGAATTGTTTGTTTACTTGGTAGGTTCTTGGAGAGCCACTGGTTTGTGTGGGTGACTCAGATGAACCATCTTCCAATGAATATTGATTATGAGCAGCGCCAGGACTGGCTGACCATGCAGGCATGTGGTTTATAATGGCACTATTACTGCCACGACATTGATTTTTATTTGCAAATCTGATGAGCAAGAGTTCTGATTTATGAGTTTCCTCTGCTTTCAGTCTGCAGCCACTTTAATCCAGTGAAAACTCAGCAGATTTACCAACGTGTTCTCCTGTCTCATCTTCTGTTTTAGCTACAAGCAACATGCAATATCGAGCAGTCCTTCTTCAATGACTGGTTCAGTGGACATCTCAACTTTCAAATTGAACACCAGTAAGTCTAATAGCTATAACTAATAAAACTCATTCATCCGCATCTTCATTAAAAACATAAAGGGAGTAGGGATGTAGATACATTTTTAATCCTACACCAATATTAAATCTGACAGCGGATTCCAAAAGAACATTTCAAATCACACAAAATAACATCAAATTCATGTGATTATATGAGTGAAGTTATTGATGTTTGTGTAGGTGAAATCAGCTCATGTTTTCTTGCTGCAGTTCACAGCAGAACCAWTGGGGCCTTTGTGACCATTTCACCTTGCTGTTTTCTATTTTTTGCTCATAAYTTCTTTAGTGTTGCTTTTGAAATGTCTTTACTGCAAACTCTGAGGTGGCGAAAAAAGCCAATCAGCCGAGTTTGGGGTCTTCCTCGCCTCACACCGATTGAAGCGCACCCAGAATGTAGTCCATACATGCCGAAGGGTCGCTCCTGAGTTATGATCCTCATAATCACATCCAGTTTGCGAATTTTTTTCCCCCAGCTGAGAGTCTGTGTTCTTCCAAACCGGCAGAATCCTTCAAGTGCGCCCAAACAGCTCTTTAAAAGGCCCCATCCACTGTCGGGGTCACTTTCACTTTTCGATAATTCTGGAACCCTCCTCCGCCGATCAGCAGGAATCCAGTTATCATAGTCCAATTAAATAAAGATCTTCCATGTCTTCGATGAAAAGTGGTGGTGACATATCAGATTCCAGCCCCAGKAATCAGACAAATCCAGCAGCAACCATTCCACCCAGACAGCAACGTTCCCCTCATTCTAAATGTGGAAAAAAATAGTGTCAATTTCATTCAGAGTCCAGTTGACCAAATCCATAATTCCTTTAGTTTCGGATGGAAGGTGAAAAAGAGCTCGAAAAAGCAAAAGCAGCGAAGCGGGCGGGGGGGGGGCTGGCAGCGAGAACGAAAAGCACGTCCTGCTCCTCTGAAGGCCAAGCAGAAAGTGATTAAACACACACATTTATGGACTTTCTTGTTTTTAAAATGCTTGAATATTAAAGCCACGATTGGTAGTAATGCAGGCAAACTAAACAAACAGAATCAATGCAAACGCTGCAAATTTCTTTATTCATATTTGATCATTTACATAATAACACTCTTCACAGTACAGTTGTGTCACAGTTTGGTTCCAAATATAAGCAAGCTTAGCACAGCAGAATAAAAAACACAAAACACAAGAATCCCCAAAACATTTTAACCAAAAGGGAACAAACCTAACAATTAGCACAAAAACTACTGAAAAGTAACCAAAACACAAAAAAACTGACAAATCTGCTGGTGTGAAATGCCAAACATCAAACCCTTGTGCAGAAAAACATGAGATAGCTGAGATGTTTTGAGTAAAGAATTAAATTTTTCCCTGGATCCTCCACGAGTTACAGAAGCAGTGAGGAGCCTGACAAATCTAAAGGACTAGCTTGACTCAAATAATTCTTTCTTTTCTAAGGGGGAAAATTTGATTTTCTCTTTTTTTTTTCTGTCTTTAGTTTGTTTCCGAGGATGCCGCGACACAACTACCACCTGGTGGCTCCGCAGGTTCGCGCTCTGTGTGAGAAACATGGGATTCCTTATCAGGTGAAAACTTTGTGGCGAGGCATGGCTGACGTTGTCAGGTAAGCTTCTGAACATGATGCAGCGGAACCTGAACTCACACTTTCCTGTCAGACCAAGCTGTGAAAGAAGAAAGAGAATACTCATTTCAATTTTACAATAAAACAAGGTCAGAAAATGTGGCATAAACTGGCTGATAAAAACTAACACGTTGTCCACTTTTTGTCTTTTCAGATCATTAAAAACCTCGGGGGATCTCTGGCTCGATGCTTATCTTCATAAATGATGAGATGTTTGAAGGATGTTTTACTTCAAAAGTGTTAAATTATTAAATTCAGCTGAAAATGTTGGAATGTTTTACTTTTAAGAAGCTGAAGGTAACCAATTGGTTAATCTTAGTGAATTTTACAGTATCCTGATCAACACAAATCTGGTRTTTTATGTAATTCATCATTTAACAACAGTTTCATTCATTACAAATTGTCAGTTCTTGATAAACTTTCAGTAACGATGCAGTATTTTCTCCTGAAACTTATGTATGTATGAATACATTTTAAATGTTTGATTTTTCTGTAAAAAGAGGAATTTTTTTAACTGAAACCAGAAACAATGAGTTTTAAAATATTTCCTAAGTTAGTTTGTGTGTTTCCAGCTGGTCTTAAGGGATTATTCTAACTTTGTGGGGGATTTGGCAAATAAAAAAAATCTTGCTTGTGTAAATGTGTTTGCGAAACATGAAAGAATTTTCAAGAAATAAAACTGTGACATTTTCCTTGTTGTAAAAACCTCGAGAGACTCACTTAAACAGCAGCAGACTGACTGAGGTGCTCTGCCTCTGTTTTTTTAATAAATTCAAATGTTTCAGTCTTTCTCTGCTTTATGAATATTATACAGATTATAAATCTGGACTAAATATGCTGCACACAAATTAAAATAAACAACATCTGTTTCAGACTGAAACTTTCTGCCTCTTTCGATGGAGGGTGACGATGTTTTATGTGTTATTTGTCTGTTAGTACAATATCTCATAAGTCACTGGACAAATTTTAACAAAACTTCACAGCCACAGCTGACTGACCTTAAGTGGCTATAATTCTGTTAATTTTACAGATAAAGACCTAAACTTTGCTGTTAAAGTAGCTAAAACTTTTTCTCAACACATATTTTGAGGCCTAATTCATTGCACAAGATCACTATCTAAGCTTTTGCTATGAACTACTTGGAGTCATATCTGTCTTAGCAAAATTTCCCATGAGCCACTGAACAGATTTTAATGACATTTTCAGGAAATAATGATTGGTTTTATCTCTACAACTGGTTAAMCTTTGGCTAACCCAGTTTGACTTAATTTAAACACAAACATGGCTATAATTCWGTCATTTCTACAGAAACTGTTGTAAAATCTGGTGGTGTGAGATTCTTGTCATTTTCAAAGTTTGGTCAAAACSTTTTTCTCTCTAAATAAGACGATCTTACTCTGACATGAAAGGTGCAATACTCCTTTAATTCTGCCAGCGTTTTTCTTTACACAAATCATCCGTATGAAACTTGAAAAATAACATTTTTACATTCGAACATGTTTAATTTCCTAGAAACTGTGAAACGAGCATTTACTTTAGAGGAAAATTCACTTTATTGATAATATCAGTGATTTTTTTTTGTGTTTTGCCTTCATTGCTTAAAGTTAATGAGCAACTCAGCAAAGAGCAGAGCAGAGAACTGAACTGAACCTGAGTCTTTTCTTTTCGGTGCTTTAGTTAAATGAACAAAGACTGAGCTGAAAGGTGGCTGCAGGAATGTGGGTCAGGCTGCAGCGGACTCCAAATGTCCTGCTGACTGTAAACGTCTCCTCTTACCAAATCAGCGCTTTTTTATCAACACATCACAAGTCCTCACAACACTGACGGCTCAGTGGGATTTAACATGTAGAAAAGCAAAATGTTCAACCTGATGCTCGTCCTCTGACAGCTGTTTCACCTGATGATACTCACACTGTTATGGAATTATGCTTCTCAACATGTCTGTTTAAACTATTCAAAACTGCACCAAGTGTGTTTGAAGTGAATCTAAAATGAAAGTAGAGATACTGTCCCAAAATACTTGTTAGGTAGAGAAACAATATTTGAATAGTCAAATCAAATCAGAGTGCTGACCTTCATTTAAATTGTGATTCAAGGGAAGAAACCAGTTGCAAACAGTCTAAAAGTCCATGCAACTCAAAAGCTTTTTCTCTTTAAATTTGAAAGCTTTTTTTAAGTGAAGTACAATAACTGTAAGTAAAATATATCGTTCTTTCAATATTCCATCAAACTACTCTGCCTGTTCATTCATATATATAAATCTACATAAATTAAATGAACTTGGTATTTGATGAAAAACCTTGCAAAGCAGCTGGAGTTATGGCAGCCTTTTTAGACATGAAATATCACATTGTCTGTACTGCTTAAGATAACCACGTCTGAGAACAAAAATAAATAAATAAAATGCACATTTATATGTTTTTCCTCCTTAGTGTTGAATTTTCCTTTTTTTAATCTCATTTTAACAGCAATAAAACAACCTATGAGACTTTAAACACAAAAATGACAAATGCTGGGTACAGAGGAACAAAAGGACTCCATTAATTTTGCTTTAAATTATTATTTCTCATGAATATGTTAAAAATACTTTTCTGTTCTGAAAATTAAATGATTAATTACATTTTGAAAAATAACATTGTTTTCCTGTGTAATCTCCAATTTTATGTAAAAGAAGTAATGATTTGACTGACCTGCATGTCAATTAAATAAACACCAAAACCTGCAACCACTGATTGTGGTTCAGATTAGTGGGGTTGACCGACACAAAATGAACAATTAAATATCATTTTTTTCCAGCAAATATCTTTTTTTAGATATGCATATTGACAAAGTGTTCAACCTGTTAGCAAACTAACACATGATTGACTCCAAGTGTCTAAAAAAAAAGTCCAAAAAGAGATATGAAGAAGACCGCACAGCTGGACTCTAACAAGTTGCAAAAACAAGATTAAAGAGGAAAGGAGACACTTGCATGCAAAAAAGCCTCAACTAAATAGGATTCCTGGTCCGCTCAGAAACATTCTGCACATAATGTGTAAGAAATTAACCCCTCCAGATGGGAGAAAATAAACTAAAAGTCAAATATTTATTCTGCATTTTTATGTAGGTTAAGACTTTCAGGCAAATCACAGGGTTACTTACAAATGGGATAATTACAGGTACTTATGGGAGTACATGAAAGACAATTACAGGATGTTCACAAGCGTGTTTATACTTATTTATACATAGAAGGCTACATGCAAGGTCAAATACAGGGCAATTAAAGGGTACTTAGGGATACAGGCAGTATTCTTATAAAGCACTTACATGCAGGATATTCAAATACATACAGAATGCTTGGTATAACATATATACAAGGTAATTACAGATATGTGCATTAAGGATACTTATAGGGTATTTACATGTAATTATATGGTACTTGTGGAAAACATACATGTACTTAATGAGGTACATACAGAGTACTTACAAGGTATTTACAAGATAATTACAGGATATTTACAGTGTAGCTGTATGTGATGGTAATTGCAGAGTACATACAAAGATCACTTACATGGTATTTTTAAGAAGATAAAGTACTAATAGGGTAATCACAAGTATTTACTGGGTACTTATTGGGGAACCTCTTAGGTATATATTGGGACACTTTGGGAACTGAGCTGTCCCATGACAGTACCCCAGTCCAGCAGCAGGCCCTGGTTTAAATAATGTCTGTAAAACAGAATAAAGTGTGTCAGAGGCAGCTGAACTACAGTAACCTTTTGTTCCATTAATGCCCCCTTTAATTCTCTCTGAACCCAGCAGCCTTTCACTGTAGGCGGGCTCTAATCGAGCTGCTTCCCGTTTGAATTCAGACGGGTATGTTCAGATAAACTGCAGCATCTTGCCCCCCCCCCCCCCCCCCAGCTGCTGGTCTCTGATTGGTCAGAAACCCTCGAAAGATCTGCCCGAAGTTCATGTGCAGGGAGGGAGGAGGCTGAACGAGGACGGCCTATCAGGGAGGACAGAGAAGAAGTGGTCGGCTTTTATGACAGCCCTGCTTCCCTTTTTTTTTTTTTTTTATAAAAAGGAACTGTTAGGATCCGGAGCCGAGGGGAACCGGTCCGGTCTGTGACGAAAGTCTGAGGAGAGAGTGGTGAAGACCCCGGATGCTGTAAGTGTAAATTATTTGTTAGCTAAACAAGCTAGTAGCTTATTGTTTGATATTAAAGATAGTTGCTGTAATATGAGAAGAACAAGGAAGTTACGTTTCTATTTCCTCAAATAGTCCACCGACAGTATGAGCCCCCCCACTTCCTTCCCTTCTGTTTTTACCTCCAGGTTTGGGGTTTTAGGGTCAGACCGGTCCTTTTAGCTGCAGGTGGACCCAGGCAGGATGGGAGGTGGAGGCCAGCAGACCGAGCAGGGGGATCCGGCCAGCGGGAAGGCTGCAGGTGTTTACACCTGGGAGGAGGTCCAGAAGCACAACACAAAGAGCGACCAGTGGCTGGTCATCAACAGGAAGGTTTACAACATCACTCAGTGGGCCAAGAGGCACCCAGGGGGGGTCAGAGTCATCAGCCACTATGGAGGAGAGGATGCTACGGTAAATACTGTTAATACTTCTGCTGAGGATACCTGCTGTGTGTGTGTGTGTGTGTGTGTGTGTGTGTGTGTG